GGAAGCGTGGAGGACTTCAAGCGACGTCGCGCCACCGAGATCAAGCATGGTCGCATTTCGATGTTGGCCACCATGGGATACATCACCCCAGCGACTTGGATTTGCTGAAGCTGTGATTAAAATCGTTTAAAACAATTTCAGTTTCAGTAAAATATTTTTTTGTTAATGTGTCCATTTCTGTAATTCCACTATAGTTGGGTGATGTTGGGTGAACCTACTCGCACTGGCAATATGTGGCAATGTTTTTTCTTGAATGCATTCCGATGAAACAATCCCCAGGAGATCACTGGCAAATTCCCTGGCTACTTATCTCCATCTGCCGGTTTGAAGTTCGCCGATGTGCCTAATGGTTTGGCTGCCATCTCAAAGGTCCCAGCCGCAGGACAGGGTTGAAACAACTGGATCCATCTGAAAATCAAGGCCATATATATATAATTATATATATAATTATATATAGAATTATATATAATTATATATATAATTATATATATAATTATATATATACACATGTATATGTCCAATAATATATATTCACTGTATATATCCAATAATATAATATAGAAATATACGAATTTCTTTTGTATATCCTCTATTAAATGTGGTTGATCTGTTTGTGGATACACGATAGATGTACTTATGATATGATGATATACAATTCATTATCTCCAAACCTACACTATAACTATGACAGTATAACATGTTGCTTTGCTGATTTATGTAGGTTGTTTAGAGGCCCAATATGCCAACCCTGGAGGATGGGGTCAGATCTTGGCCTACATGGCTTTCTGCGAGGTCTCCCAGGAACAGACCCCAGGAAGTGCTGCGTATGCTGGAGACTTTGGATTCAAGGTATTGACCTCTTCTGACCCGGCTGAGAAAACCAAAAAGCTTAATGCCGAAATCGCTAACGGAAGGCTTGCGATGATGGCCATCATCGGTATGTTTTTCCAGGCGGGGATACGGTTCTGTGCGCATATTGTTTGTTACAACTCAACAAGAAAAGAAACATTACACAGAGCGTGGCTGAAAGAGTGCAACAATGTAGAGCATCAGCACAACAGAATCAACATCGTTGAAGAAGAAGCACAATTCTGTGTCAATTCGCATGGTGTGTTCTGAGTTTCTGAAGTTTATTTCTTGCCAGCCACGTGTTCAGCACACCGCATGTTTCATTGTTTGATATTGTTCTTACTGCTATATTTACACATATGCTTGCCAATAAGGTGAGTTGTAGAATGTGTCGGGAATGAATAGTTTCATGATGTGACATGTACAGATTGTACAATTGATATAATGCGTTCGAAGCATGCACAAAGACATGACATTTCAAGATTTGATACTATTCATTTCGTTTATACATATCATATCGCGCCATAGCATATCATATCATATCATGTCAATTTGTATCATATTCTGTCATATTGTATCACATAATGTCATACAATGATATTTATAGAATTATCAACAATCTTGATATTGCCACCCTGTGCTTTTGATCTCTGCCATAACTTCCATGTCCCAGGATGGTCTGACCGGAAGCGCCTGGGGAGACTGGGCCAACTACACAGCATCTCCTTTGCGCGCCTTCGAGAATGAACTCGGCGTGCAGGCACCCGTGGGTTTCTGGGATCCCGCCGGATTTACCGCCGATGGAAGCGTGGAGGACTTCAAGCGACGTCGCGCCACCGAGATCAAGCATGGTCGCATTTCGATGTTGGCCACCATGGGATACATCACCCCAGTGACTTGGATTTGCTGAAGCTGTGATTAAAATCGTTTAAGACAATTTCAGTTTCAGTAAAATATTTTTTTGTTAATGTGTCCATTTCTGCAATTCCACTATAGTTGGGTGATGTTGGGTGAACCTACTCGCACTGGCAATATGTGGCAATGTTTTTTCTTGAATGCATTCCGATGAAACAATCCCCAGGAGATCACTGGCAAATTCCCTGGCTACTTATCTCCATCTGCCGGTTTGAAGTTCGCCGATGTGCCTAATGGTTTGGCTGCCATCTCAAAGGTCCCAGCCGCAGGACAGGGTTGAAACAACTGGATCCATCTGAAAATCAAAGCCATACATATATATATATACATATTCATTATATATATGTATATACATATATATATATACATATATATATATATATCATAACATATATATATATACTGTATCTATCCAATAACATGTAGAAATATACACATTTCTTTCTATGTATCATCCATTATATAAATGTGCTTGATCTGTTTGTGGATACACGATAGATGTACAGTACTTATGATATGATGATATACAATTCATTATCTCCAAACCTACACTATAACTATGACAGTATAACATGTTGCTTTGCTGATTTATGTAGGTTGTTTAGAGGCCCAATATGCCAACCCTGGAGGATGGGGTCAGATCTTGGCCTACATGGCTTTCTGCGAGGTCTCCCAGGAACAGACCCCAGGAAGTGCTGCGTATGCTGGAGACTTTGGATTCAAGGTGTTGACCTCT